TAACAATCCCCCAACCTCGCTCCCCAAACCTCCACAGTCAGTTAACCCTTAGTATACGGAAGTTTATTCCCCCAGTCCTTTGCACGTAGCCAATTTTATCTTCCAATGTTTGAGCATCACAAACTTCCCCATAACTACGCTCTTAATTATTTAACCTTTAGTTTTAGTAAACCTTTTACGGCACTTGCAAACGTCGAAGATTAGAGTTGTCACATGAAAGTAACATACACAAATAAAGAAGGAGGAGAGATAAGGGCGATAGATATTTGATTGATTGAAAAGAACGAACAAACCACACCAGATCACCAGCCAGCCACTCACTCTTATTTAACATTAAAGTATGAAAATGAACGTTAAACTGAATAGAAATGAGAGCTACTCGCAATAAACTATTCGTTTTATAACAGATAAGATGGATTTGCTTGGGTTCAGGATTTTTGTTGACTGTAAACAACTGAGCGTTGCCGTGCGCCAGGTGAACTGACGTGTCGTCCATATGTCGCTACCTCAGAATTACAAAGTTTTATCAGCTCACTAGATCTAGATCTAGATCTACTTAGTTTTGAAAATTCTAGAAATATGACGTCAAAATGTTTGAGTTTCACAATAAGTCAAGCTTTTTAAAAAATGCAGTTCTTTAACTCGATCTATCTAGATAATGACTTCTTATGATTTTGATAGAGCAGATAGAATATTTGCTTCCTTACCTCATATCGTCTTTGTAACTCAAAACGGCCAGAAATGTCCAGATAGAACTTTATAATTCTGAGGTAGCGATGTACTAATTAAGAGTTAACTGACCGGTCTGTGGCGGTCTCCAGGTGAGCTTGATCCTACGTTTCCCGTCACGGGGCGGGGTCAGTGTGTAATTCAGGGAGGACACTTTCCCGCCAAAATCTAACGAGTCGGACACGTCTGGGGAAAAAAGAAAACATTCATTAAATCAAGGACACAGCCTGATGAGATCACCAGTACCAATGCTGTAATCAAATGTTAATACAAGTATCGGTGGGGTAATCAGATATGACCACACGTATCAGTGACGTAATCAAATGTGACCACAAGTATCCGTGACGTAATCAAATGTGACCACAAGTATCCGTGACTTAATCAAATTAATGTAAGCACACATATCAATAACGAAGGGTATAGTCAGTTGAGACACTATTAAATACACAATAATAATATGTGACATAGATTGGAACACAAGTATTCATTGGTGTAATCTAATAACATTATATTCACTGGACAACTCTTAATATAGACGCAGTGTTTTGGGGCAGTTTAAAAAAAGGAAACATAACTTTTGGTTTGTTTTTGATAGGTGTCTTATGGCGCTCGCAACTGCATAAGGTCATATGAGCGCACGGGACACATTAAACTTTTTTCAGTAGGTTGGAAATGTTGCCTTTTGCTCGGGTGGCGGCCGAAGCCTGCTCTTATCGATTTTAGACCACCAAGGGATCTTTGACGTGCGCAACTTGCACACGAGACTTCCGAGATTTTTCGCCCTTGCCCGAGAAGGCTAGGTGTAAATCTTTCCTACCAAACGATCAGGGGTGTGGCTGAAAGACAGCAGTAAGAAGGAGCCTAGGAGTAGCAGTAGAAATGCTGCAGAAAGAGTCAGGAGCCCAGAGGAGGGGGCAAAGGAGGTGAGGGGGTGGGGGTAGAAAGTGGAGACGAAAGCAGACGACAGAACATTGGTAGAGAGCAGGAAAGGAGGTGAAAGGAGACAATTTTAGAGAAGAAAATTTTCCTTTCGCTACCCGAACTCGAACCAGGAACCTTTGAATGAGAGGCCAACACCTTAACCTCTAGGCCACAGGAGCCCCAAAAGATAACTTTAATATTAAACAAATCAATCAATTCTGTTTTCTGTATTTGAAACTTAGGAAGGCAGACAACATAATTCTATGAAATATGCAAATTCATAATTCTGATTTGTGTATGATTGAAATGTGCGGAAGCATAGACTTTGGTCTGCTGCTGATCAGACGAATGTGCCATTTACTGTTTTAGTAAGAGCTCGACGGTACTTGCAACACTTAGAACAATGTCAGTGCTGAAGATTACAGGTGCGACAAGAGAGTAACATGCAGAACATACACAAAACGTGGGGGGGGGGGAGAGATGAGGACAATTTATATAATTTAATAGGAAAGAAGAAGCAAAGCGCACCAGAGCACCTGCAAACTACCTACTGTATGTGCCCGCTGAAAGAAGGAGAAAACCGCACCAGAGCACCCGCTAACCACCCACTGTATGTGCCCACTGAAAGAAGGAGCAAACCACAAAAGACAAGAGCACCCGCCAACCACCCACTGTATACGCCCATAGTCCTCAAGGTGTTAAACATTATACATGTATAACCACGGGTGAGATAACCTCTCTGCTCATCCAGCTCTCCCGAGGGAGGCAGCAACTCTCCATTATTTGCTCTACTTTTAAGACTGAGACTGCATCAATCAGGACAAACGACTTTTACACCTCGCAGTAGGGCTGGGCAATGAGTCGCTTTAGCAAAATCCGGATATTATGTTTATGCATCTCTTTTCTCTTCAGCAAATGTGTTATGAACCGCTTCAGCAAATGGGCTTTAACCACTTCTACACACGGGTTAGAACCACTTCAACATTATGGCTGCACCAACTTCGGCAAACGGGTTATGAAAGAGAGTTAAGAGTCTGGATTCGGATAATGTTTGAATAATTCTATTGGTTTTCCAACACGTTATCCGGATTTTGCCTACCACTGCTTCGCATGCGACATCAACCCAATGTTTTGCAATTAGTGTCGTCCACACCCCGACTCATCGGCAAGCTTGAAACCACGCTCGCGCAGTGCGGGGAGAGCACACCACAGAGCTGGGGCGGCTTGACAGACGGGGCAGGAGACAGAAAATACATCATTGAAACTGTAATCTAATTGTTCTGTTGTTTTTTGTTTGGTTGGTTGGGGATTTTTTTGTCTTTTGTCTAAGTTTTACGGCATTTGTAGCCGAAAGAGGTCATACAAGTGCCAAAGATTAGAGGTGCTACAGGAGAGTAACCAACACCAAAAAGGAGGAGGAGAGTTACGGACGATTAATGTTTGATTCTAAAAAAAAGAGCAACCCGCACCAGAGTACCCTCCAACCATACACAATCTAAAATAATTGCAATTGTGCATGTACACGTTTTTCTCCGACATGGTTGCGATTTACATCATTTAGGAGGCTGGCTGTTTCGACCTAGCCAGTAAAAGCCAACTGCAGCTGAGTGGGTTACAAAATCTCTCTAGACAGATGGGGGAACGGGATTAAAATTTCCTGACTCGGGCACCGACGTGTTGTCATCAGCCTGCAACAGCGTAGAGCCTATTGTAACTTTTATACCACACCACAGACATAACCTTTTTCTACACCACGGACACCAGTTCCTGGACACTATTTGCAACCTTAGAATTTGTATATAAATATATAT